TGAAAAAATAATTTTGTTTTGCTTCACTTAATATACAGTAAGTGTGTATTTTTGTTATTTATTATTGATTGTCAATGAAATGGCAATAATTCTTAAACATAACGTATGATAAGATGTGCTTAAGGACTAGGGCTGAAAGTTATACTACAATATATAATAAAAACACAAGTTTCAGCCTTATTAAGGACCGAGTTTTTGATATACATGTATATTATGCTAAAGACTAGACTTATACAGTAGAATAGAGAATAAATTCTTATGGTCTATACGTGTGTTTATTGTAAACATTTATAAAGCGATTCCATCGATGGCTAATATAATATCTGGTAATTTAAAGTAGCGTTTGTATGGCATTATCAATGAATTGATTATTAATTGTGCTTCACTTAATATATACAATGTGTATAATTTGAGTGATGCCTCAAACTAAACAACAATATGAAGTGATGCTATCAATTGATGGCTAATAAAGGAGTCGATGAATGCAAATAAAATACAGAATCAGTATAATTATTATAGGAGTGTATGTTTGTTGTCATACATTTAATTAACAAATCATTAAGAAATCTATATATAAATCGCAAATAATAAATGTAAAATGAAGCCATGTTTGTGATTGATGTTTGCTATCATTTTTCCTGATCTAATAAAGGCATCCCTAGGAAAACAAATTTATTTTAATCAAAAACATATGATGTCTTGCAAGGTATTTGATACGGTATCTAATGAATATAAATAACTTTACTGCTTTGAGTTATAAATTACATTTATATAACAGATTGTAATATTATTACTTTTATTTTAAATTAAAATTATTATTATTGGACAAAAGCAAAGCATTATCATTCAAAAACAGAAGTCTAAGAAATTGTAACTGCAATTCATCAATAAAAATATTTTTGCCATTTTTTGTCTAAAAATAGATAGATATCTAATCAAGATTACAACAGAAATGCAAAAATACAAACAAGCACATTTATATTTACAATTTAAGTAATGGAGAAATTTGAGATTGCGAAACATGTATGTCGTTGTACTAAATGTGTGGTCATATAAATTATTGTACGGTATATTGATCTATGATCTATTTTTCTATAAATTTGTCTGGGTAAAATTGATTTCCATTGTTTATCAAATTATAAAGTTTATTACTAGTGTTCCCTTTGGACGGACAAAATTATCGGGAGGTTATATTTGCAAAATGGCTTTTATGCCATTAATTACATTAAAATAGCATTATTTCACAACATATGACTTATTGTTGTTAACCCTAAATAAAGTTATATTTTAAGTTTAAAGTAAATGTCAGAAATAGAAAAACATCAATATTTTTGAAGATTAAATGCTTTAAATCATGAAAATTTCAAATAAAATAATGTCTAAAATATGGGCATTCGCTCGAAAGACATTTGTTCAAAATCCACTTGTTTGAAGGACATTTGATTACAATAGTCATTTTTAATTTGATTTAATTTTTATAAATTTTATAAATAAATAAAAAGTATTATTATACTTTTGGTTCAAATGAGTTAATTCTATTATTTAGATAATTTAGTCGTTATTTATTTGTATTAATTTCAAATTAATATTTCGAGAAAGTGTTATAATCACGAAAATACACTTCTCTTAATTTTATTGCATTATGGCTTACATTGAGAGAGGCTTTAAAATTGTTATTTAATAAATATGTTTTTCTCCTTTTAAACGAATAACAAATAACAGTAACTGAATTCAATGTAAACACATTTAGTATATTTGTCTCAATTGACATTTCTTTCATTAAATAATACTAAACTAAATATAAAACTAAAAACATGAGTTATTATTGTATTTTTGAATCAAATATAAGTAATATAAAGAATATTTTATAACGAATAATTAAGTATATTTGCAAACATAATAAGAGTTTTAATATTTATACAAACAAATGAAAACATATAATTATATCAATAATAATTACGGTATATAAAAATATAAATACATTAGACATGCATTCATTCAGAGCTCATAGTTTGTGATGACAGCCACTAATGCAGGAATCGGTGAAACAAATTTCTGTTTCGCTCTTTCGGTCACTATTTCTTCGGCACTTTTTGGCTCTTTTAATGCATTCCAAGCCTTTTCTTCCATATATTTGTCGCACTTCTCAATATTTTCAAACCGTCCGCACGTAAAATCCAACACATCGTTTGTCTTTGTAATAAAAGCATAGTTTAGTATAAAATGTACAAAATATTGATAATTCATTTCATGTCTAACAATGTAAGAATTACAAACAAAAAATCAATTTTTGCCATATTATAGACAAGTTTGTAAATTATTAATCGTTGACATAATGTTAATAAATTACATTTTTACATTCATGTCATATCTATTGTATTATAAATTATAAATCAATCAAAATCACAGCTTATAATTACTCTGTCCTACAAACCACTTTCTTTTATACATAATTTTGCAGTAAATTTATTTTTTTTAAATCTCAAACAAATTGTCCGTCGAGTTAATTAACTTTTAAAATTGAAAATTTAAAGAATTAATTAAATTTAAATACAGTATAACAAAAAATAATAAACTTGAAAAACAAATTATGATAACAAAAGACTAATAAATACAGTATATAAAGAATAGATAACATGAATATAAGTTATATTATAATTTATAACAAAAATACTTTATATTTGTTATGAAAACATACCATTGAATTGATTATACTCATAATATAATCCGCGGTTTCGATACCAGTTTTGGGCTCACATAGAGATTGTGTACTCTTTTGAATGCAATCCTGGAATAAATGAAAACCACAGCAAACGGCCGATATTTTAGTATCAGGGTCCATTGTCCTGATTAGATCCAAATGAACAGTGTATCGATCCATACAGAGGTGCAACGGTTCCATTGATGGCTTCGGCAGAAAACATGATGAATGTTTTATAAACTCTGTTTTACGGTATATTTATATTAATATAAATTATTATAATATTTATTTGTTTTTTCTTCACTAACGTTAGATTTAAGCAAGTAATTCCATGACACGTGTGTTAATATTATACATATATTGTATTTTATATAATAATTAATGATTAATAGTGAGCTTAGGATAAATCTTTTGCATTGAATTATAAGTTATTATCAT